AAGGCAATCGGGAAAACGCATAAAACAGCAAACGGCCTGTCTCTTATACACATCTAGATGTGTATAAGAGACAGCATATATATATACATATATGTATATATATATGTATATATATATAATTATTTTAGTTTCAAACATCATCAAACAGCTACTTAAAGCCAAAGTGTGTGTGTGTGTGTAAGTAAATATATATATATAATTTACATATATAATAATGATAATAATAATAATAATAGTAATGATAATAATAATACAATTATTGAAACTTCTCTTTTAAGAGAGAGACATACGTTAGACAAAACGGTGTGTTCCCAAATCACAAAAACATTCAAAATGTACAGGCAAAGTAAAATTGGTAAAATAGGTTAAGACCGGAAGTTTAATAAAATAAAATACTGAAATATACCATTTAAATAATCAAAAGTGAATTTCCTGCCTTTAAATCAGGAAATAAAATGGGAATGGTAAAATTGTGGGGTTAATTCAAAATTGCGAAATTATTATATAAAACGAGTTAAACTACAGTAAAATTTTTAAAATATTTATAGAAAAAAACCCTAAATATAAATTTTAGAACACCAAGATTCTCCTTGGATTATTTGAAATTATTTAAATTTACTAGGAACTATCAACTTGTACTGGTGGTATTTAGCATATCTGTTGACGAGGCTCTCTTCAGGTAATAAACGTAGGCCTACAGAGTTGCCAAATATAATTTCAGTGCTATCTTTCATAAAATGATGAGAATAATAATCTATATTACCAAACACAACACATTTTTTGAATTGATCTTGTTGCGGGTGTACGGTAAGAATGGCCCCGGTAAAAATGGCCCAGAAAAAATGGTTTGGATGGGGTTCGCAGTGTGTTTGGAGGTTTGTGGTGTATTTGCAAGTACTTTTTCACAAAAAAACATTTTAACTAAAAAATAGTGTTACGAGAGAGGTCCCGGGTTCATTTCCCGGATGACTCCCCCATTATCTGTTACGACATGTGAAGACGAGATAACGGAAAGAGTGAGACCGACAACAGTTTTACAAATTTAAACTAACTAAATGTTTATTATATAAATACGAATAATATAAATGAAATAATTCGGTACAAAATACATGAAAATACTTGCTCTGGTTTAGCTACTGTCGCTCAAATTAAATCTTCAGTTCCAAATTAGAATTGTTCAAGTCAGGTTGTGTAAAAGTAAAAATGTTCAAAGCAAAAATGGTTCAAAGTCCAACACCATCATGCGCCACACAGGCTGTCCCACGAATTGTCTTTCTCTATTGATCACATCTCGACAACTAACTCATCATCTCTCAAACATCGTTATTTAACAAGTCCTAAGTCATTCACCCCTTTTCATGGTTTTACTCCCTTTCTCAGAAACTACACCCTTCTACATACCTACTGTCTTATACATCCCCATCTCTTCAATCACAATTACTAACCACGATGATTAAAGCACCACAAAACTCACACTTTCACTTCATGGACATTGAACTTTAAGATGTGTAAATAATTATAATGATGAAACTGACACTGGTAACAATAGGTTCTTATGGATATTTAACTTTCTTATTGATATACAAATGAGTCGGATTGGATTGGATTTATTCGGTGTAAACACCAAGAAGGATAGCCCACGAAAGTCTAGAAGAAGACTTATTTCCAGTGGGGTCCTTCTGGTGGTGATTGGACAGTACACTGGGAGACAATCCCCTACTCTTTTCCAAAGAGTATACTGTGTTCTTTAACGTGCACATGGGCCATAAATGCACACGGGACCAACGGCTTAAACGTCTCATCCGAAAGACGGTGCGCTATGTAACTTGTATTTCAGCCCTCTAGCTGAAACATAAGGAGAGGCAGTGATGGGAATTGAACCGGGGACCTAGAGATCTCCACGGTTTAGCGCACACACAGTGGCTTCCACCAGATTAGCCGATTGAGCTAAGCTGCTCTCTCACAATCACAATTGAATTGTTTGGTTTTTTACAGTGTGTTTTGGGAAGTTTGTGGGATTTAGCAATACCATTTAATCCTACCTTAATTACCCTTAATTACCTACCCTCGCAATTACACGCCATTGTAATTCTTAGCATAATTGCCATATTTACATAACTATGTATATATTAGTATCTCAGTTTACATTATTTAGTATAGTTTTAGTTTTAAATTTAGTTGCAATTGAATAAACAATGCTTAAATAAATGTATTCTTATTATTCAGTTTACTTTAAAAACAATATTTTATGAACAAACTTAGAAGTAATTCTAAGCAGAACATTTAGGCTATTCCTAAGTTTGTGAGAAAGTAAGGCTCTCCCTTTTCCCATACATGAACTTGTGATTCAAACACACAGTTGATCAACATGCTTTAACTACTGTTTATTTGCATTGTGTATAACATGTAAAGTTATTTCATTTGATACTTAAAAAAATGAACATTGTGGTTATCTATGAGTTGCATATTTTGGTAGTTGAAGTACTGTATGTATGTCATTCCTCTACTTTGTTAGTAGAATAACGTTTTTTAAACTTTTAATTCCACTATCAAAAAATAATAATTGTTATTCAATGGCCATTGTTTTCCGATAATCTCTCAGTACATTATTTGCATCTGTTGTGTAACTGTATTTGTTAAAAAACAAATACTTTTTAGAGAAATAATAAAACAAAAAAATCACATAAATTGATCTTATTTTCAAAGGAAAAAATAAAACTTATTTATAATTTTTTTTAATTTTATAATTGAGGGCCATTTTTTTTATTAATTGCTTCAATTTTTGCTTATTACAATATTTAAATATTTGAAGATTAAAAAAAAATATCATTTCTATTACTGATTTTTTTCGTTCGGGCCATTTTTACCTACTTGTCATTTGGGGCCATTTTTACTGGGGCCATTTTTACCGGGGCCAATTTTTCCAGGGCTATTTTTCCGGGGCCATTTTTACCGGGACCATTTTTACCTACATCCCCTGTTGCGACCTAAAAGCATTTGTTGCTTAACAATAGCTCAACTTTATGTACGTCTGCGCGTATACAAAGGTCTCCGTTGTGTAATGAGAAAGTTGCTATTGGTAATCCTTGGCCATGTGCCTAAAGGAATAACATAAATAATTATAGTACAGGCTAAATGTGACAAAAATCCTATTTAACCTTAAACAAACTCTAATAAAAGGACTGTTTGCATATTCTTGTAGGCCTATATTTGAAAAGTCATGAACAAATTTTTGCCACCTTTTTATAGTTGCGTTTACAAAATATTCAGGGTCAAAGGTCAATTACCTGTATGCAGCATGTTTCAGGTCATAACTCTTCAACTACTTGCTCTAAAAGCACAAAAATAATGTCTACACCGAGATTTTTCGGGACAACAATTATGGGAAATTTTTGACGCCTTATAGTAGCTACGTTGACCAAATATTCAGGGTCAA